GACTTTCACACACCCAAAAGATGAGGCTCTCAATTTACCTTCTGTGAGATTGTTGCCACTTAATCCCTGCCACTCAATAGTCCACCCGCCACACTGATAGCCAAGATTATCTGCATGACTGCCAGCTACAAGTATTTTTGATGTCTTCTTGGGAAGGGGTAGCAATGGCTTTTCAGCAGATTCACCATTCTTTAGCAGCACCAGCGATCTCCTCACAGCTTCCCTAGCCAGTTCTCTATGTTCCTGTGAAATTAGTAATACAAAACACTAGATTAAGTTTCCCACATTAGTATTGCTTGTAGAATGGTGTCAAGTTTATCAATAACTACCTGACTGCCAAGCTGGTGGACCAGGCTCATATCAGCGAACGGTTCCTCAAATAGGCCCATGACAAACTTAACTCGCAAAATTCTCTTTACTGCATCATCAATTCTGCTCATGGGAATGATCTTATTTTTCACCAGGAAGGTTAAACCGTCAATGAATTCCGTATAGTTGTAAGGAACCATGACCTTTAAGATGCAGAGAAATAGGTGTGTTAGAAGTCAACTAACTAACATCATCAACTTTATTCAATTTAATTTAAGAAAGAAAGAAAGAAAGAAAGAAAGAAAGAAGAAAAAATAAATAAAAAATGCGAACAAGAAGAGATGCAGGTTATTACCATGTCAATGCCAGCATTGATTCCTGCCTGAATTGAATAAGAGTAGTTGGCATGAGGTGGAGAGGTGATCCTGTCAATACCCTCCCAATCTGAAATGACAAAACCCTGAAACAATCCACAAGGTTGTATAATAATGCTTTAGTTTTTAAATTGATATTAGTGAAACGGACCAAGAACGGAAATAAAAACAGAAATATGATTTTACCCTGAAACGTAGCTTGTTCTTAAGGAAGCCAGTGACAAGATCATGATTAGCATGCATCTTTACTCCATTCCAGCTTGAGTAGGATACCATAATGGTTGCCACACCCTTGATGATTGAGTTATAGTAGCCTGGCATGTGAATGCTGAGCAAGCCGTGTCTGTTTATCACAGTGTTATTCTCATTGATGCCTTTGGTTGTTCCACCATCACCCACAAAATGCTTTGCACAAGCTGCAACGTTTTTACTTCCAACAGAAATAACAGAACATTATAAACTAAATAGCTTGTAAAATTAATAACAAACTTATTGTTTGGAATCAAAAAATTATTAATGATTTTTTAGATAATGTGTAACGAGAACTGGAATTGTAAATACGCTCTTTTCTCTATGGTGATTGATAATTCTAATTACTAATATTAACAGTCCTTTTATGCACAAATCAGAGTGCAACAATATGGGGAGAACAGTGGCCTTTGCAACCACAGTAAATTAACTTTGCAGTTCCTAGAGTACCTACTGATTATTTCTCTGAAGGAGCTTAAATGCACTCTTCATCTCTTACTTTATTCAATAACCAACACCACCCCCCTCCAAAGATAAGGATAAAAAGAAAGATAAAGAAAAAGGGAAGGGAAGGGAAGGGAAGGAATTCCTATAGGAATCAAGGATGCCGTATTGGATTTATGTGGGCCAATAAAGCAAACTAGGACCAAATCAAACTTCATACTATAGGATAAATATCTCTCCCTCTCTCTCTCTCTCTCTCTCTCTCTCTCTCTCTCTCTCTCTTTTAATTTTTGTTTGGTATTTTAGTGCTTCACTTTTGCTTTTGATTTACACAGTTAGTGGAACATGGTCCATTCACATAAGTCCACAACCAGATACATGAATACAAAAATGTTACTTTCATAGGATCATTATGACCAATGTACCAAGCACATTGAAATGGATGGAACTGAGGTTACAAATAAGAGATGACAGAAACGATACAAACTATAAAAAAAAATTAAGCACTAACCTATAACATCAGATGATCAATTTTGAGATGGACAAAACTCAGGGTTACAAATATTTTTCACAAACCTATGACATAATTAGGCCTTGCATGTTAAGGCTCCAGAGTCCTTCTGGTTTCGAGAAATAATCTCTTTTTACATTTTTCATAGAATGAAATTGCAATACAGATACCATGCAAGTTTTAGTCTAATTATGTACAATTAATTACCTTATCTGATCATAGGCAAAAGTTTAGCACAGTTAAATGTTAACCAAACTAGTTTATTAAACAGACATAGACAACTTATGTCAAAAACCAAGGAATTAAAATTCTTACTTTCCTGCTACGAAGGGAACACCCTTTCTGGAGTTAGCTGGTATCTCCCCTTGTAAGCCGGGAATGATCTCAGTCATTGCTTGAACAATCTTAGGATCTTCACTGTAGCTTTCATAACAGCGACCCCATCTTGGATCTCTGCAAACCTGCACAGATAGAATTAAGAGGAATCACAGCTCAGCTTAAAGTGACTTATGTTGATACTTGTCAGACGAACAATATAATTCTAGTTACCGCTATACAAGGGGCAAAGACATATGGAATGCCTGTAGCTCTAACTTCAAGTGCAGTTGCAGCTCCGATCCTCTTAACAAGTTCTGGATCCCTGGTTGATTTAAAGTTTGAGGAAGTTTATATTAGTACAAATTTTATCTTTGTTGAATTTTCTATAGTTTGAACTCTTAAGAAGACTAAAGGCAAGCAGTTGAAGAAACAAATTTCTCAGTTTTCTCATATATGGAATTGGCTCATCTCCATCTTTACACAACTTCACTTCTATCAGGCTTTGAATATTACAGCACCAGAGACAGGAAAAGAAAACATTCACATGGCATCTTGAGACAAGGATTACAAAACAACTAAGCAAAATTTTAATATTGAGGGCATACTACTTGCCTGGTGGCTCCGAGCCCAATATTGTGAGGAAAGATTGTTGCCTTGTAGACGTTGTTGTGGCCATGAACAGCATCAATACCATAAATCAATGGAATTCCAAGCCGAGTTGATAAAGAACCCTTTTGAAAATCATTGACCATGTTAATCCAAGTTTCTGCAGAAGCCTTTTGTGCTGGAACACTCCCACCCCCACTTAATATGCTCCCTGCTCAAAACAGATTTCTGCTTCCATTAAATCCAACTTACATACAAATGAAGAAGTGACACTATTCTTTTTTAATCTATATAGGTTTTGTTCACAGAGAAAAGAAAATTGATAGTGATATTTACCAATGAAGTACTTCTTCATCACCTCAGCTGAAGCGACACTGCGGTCTATCTGCACCATTTGGCCAATCTTTTCCTCCAAAGTCATCCGGCTCACTAAATCCTTGATTCTAGAATTTAATGGCTGTTTGGGGTCTTTATACATAATGTATTGTGCTTGAGCTATGGCTATGTAGAAACATAAGAAAAAAATTCCCATCAAGAAGATGGGAATTCTAGCCATTTCCTGTTCAAATATTGTTACAGATGAATGTAATCCTTAATTAGAAAGCCACTCAGGCAGGAGGTACAGATACATGAAGAGGAATTCTCAACCAAAATTCTGAAAAAGAAAAGAGTTCTAAAACTAGAACATGAAACAGTGTAAAGATGAAGAAAATTTCAAGAAAAGTATAAAGCGCATCTTATGTATCTCAGGAATTCAAGCACCAATGGAATAGTTGCAATATATTTATAAATAAAATTTTAAAAAAATCCTGCAGCTAAAATTAGGCCCAGAGAAAGGAATCAAAAAGACCCTTGTAGCAAAATAGGGAGCTAAACAGAACCCAAGTTTCAAGCAACTACAAAACTACAAAAAAAAGTTACATTTCTTCAAGTGAAAAACAGAGAAACAGAGCACAACCAAAAGTCCAATACAAAAAAACAAAAAAGAATTTTTGACTCTTTTTGAAGAACTGTTTGGGGTCTAAGAAAAGAAAGGAGTATGAAAGAAAATTGGGATTTTGAATTTATGGGATGGTGTTACTGTGTCATTTAGTTGGAACCAAATTCTTGAAACCAAACTGAGAGCTGAGTAATTGAATCACCAATAGGCTCAGTTCAATAAAGCCTTTCATCATTCTGGAACCTAAAAATTTCTCTTTTCTCAGCAAACAAACAAGGCATTAAAGATCTTGCATGTGGAACAAAATTCACTAAAAAGTAAGAACTTACAGAAACTAATGGAGACCCAAAAGGCAACGACGTCTTCTCAGTTGAATGGAGACAGAGAGAGACAGAGAGAGAGACAGAGAGACAGAGAGAGTTGCAAGAAAAATGTGAAGTTGGGATTTGAAAAATGTGTATGGCAGAAGTGGATTTTATAGAACATTTGCTGTCATTTGACTGAAAAATTATGGTGTGATAATTTTATATCTTAGCGGGTAAAGAAAGGTGCTGACTTTTCCAGGAATGCAAACTTGTTTGTTTCGCATATAAATCATCCCTATCTTAAATTGGTCAAATTAGCACATATTCTTAACTATTGTTCCAACTTTTAAATTACTCAGTTGATCTTATACGAAATAATCTCACATCAATAATTTCTGGTATGATATTTTCATATTTACTATTTAGAAAATCATACACAAACTCCCATAAATCCTACATATTGCCTTCTTAGGACAACACAAATCCTCCCAAAAAAATAGAACACCTGGCCAAATCATGAGATGCCAACCAATCAGACTTGCCCAATTATATGCGAGTGCTGCGGCACAAAACAGCTTGAAAAGCCCTCAACTCTCTCTCTCTCTCTCTCTCTCTCT